TGATAAATTAAAATTTCATTCTTGTATATCTAGATTTTCTATTATCTTGACAAAATGATAAATAGCGACTATAATGTAGAAAAAAAAAAACTAAACTAATCTATCAAGATATTATAATAGCTTTCAGTTTCACACCTTGCTTGGTGTGTCTATTGTGTTTGATTCCTCATGTTTAGAGTGTTAACATTTCCAAACTTGTGATGCTGCAAAAAAGGCACCCAGTGGGCACAAATCATAGTACAATTCTAAACTTGTTAAAGTTGTTTATAACAGTTCTATTTGTGTTATACACGAAACTAGGATTCGCATGTGTTACACGTAAAGGTTTATACTATGATTGTAATCAATTATATTGAACACAAGCTTTTATGATCGAAACTTCGATTAGTGAAGTTAAAATGAATTTTAACAAGAGATTTTTGCAAACACCTTAATATTTTTTGTTGATCAAGTCAAACTTTATTATTGTAGTGAAACTCATCGAGAAATCAAGTCAATCGTCTTTTTAGACAATGTGCAATGGAACTTATTTGCTCATTCAAGCCCCCAGTGCATATCTCCAAGTGGTAAAAGAGGAAGGTAAAAAAAACTTCAGCTTTGCTTGAGGCTGCCGCGTCAAGGGTTCGAATTCTGAAATATGGATTTGACCCTTGGGTAAGTGTAAGCAACCTTCCACCCTATACCCTTAGAGGAATAACCTGCGATTTACCTCTTTGACCAAGGCCCAAGACACGACAGGTGGGGACCGTCAAGAATGCGGCTCATCTTTTTTTTTTTATTTGCTCATTCAAACTCTGAGTACTAACATTAGTTGTACAACCGTCTTACAATTTCTCGTAAAATCTACTAGCAAGTTACCAGAATCATGTATCTTAAGCTTTGACGTAGCACGAAACAAGGAATTCAAGCGAAAACTTAAGAACACGATTTTGGAATCCACCAAATTAAAGAAAACATAAACTCACGAAATTATATTAATGTAAGATAATAAAAAACGAAGAATTAACCATTTATTTATAAAGGTTTATATGAAAACCTAGTTTAAACAAACTAAAATTACAAAAAATTCGAAATAAACTAAATGACAAAAATAGAACTAAAATTTTAAAAGCAGTTTTCAAGTCATAAACGAACTCGATTGGCCAAAATGCATCGTATTCATGACATAATCGTGAATTCTATTCATTTCGTTGTTCTCTTTTCGAACTGGTATTATGGGTACAAATCGGAGCTCGACTGCCACATCTACACTATTGTCTTTTTTCCTTTTCAGTACAAATTCGAGTGATGTCTTACTATTCCCGAACATGTTTTGGTAATTTTATGATGTTTGACTAATTCTTTAGATAATAGGATGACGATGAACATCATATTTTGAAGTTTTAATGATAATTTCACTTTTATGTTAAATACTTGTTTGGCTTGAATGATTTTTAGGTTAATAATGCTTTCAATTACTTAATCCACAATTGAATAGATTCACGGTTCTTTTTTTGTTGAGAGAAGTAATAGGAATTGTAGTACGTAGTAACAAGCATTGTGAAGTATGATAAAGAATATAGATATATCAATATGCTTTGCTTGATCTTATTATGGATGTTCTTGAACTTTAATCCATTTTTTTATATTTGCATTCTTCGTACAATATAAAAGGGTTATATGTGGGAATATATTTAACATTACCCGAGAGTGATTATTAAATAAAAAAAATTATTGATCATCTAGTTTAAATAAGTATTGTCAATTATTGGGGTTCATATTAAAATGGAAGAATATAGGAAAATTAGAGCTCCAAGTGATTTTAATTAAATGAGTGTTCATAAACGCTTTGTAGTTAGTTGCTACTTGTACATAAAAATGGTACATAATGGATTACGTTAAATGATGTGGAGGAAAAAAATTGATGAAAAAGTTGACAGTGTTTTAAATTGACAAATGATAAAGTGTAGCAAGGTCCTTACTTATTATGTGAGTCGTTGAAAATAACCTCCACTAGTTGATAAATGAAAATTTCATTCTTGTAGATCTCGATTTTCTATTATCTTGGCAAAATGATAAAGAGCGACTATAATGAAGGGAAAAAAAAAACTAAACTAAACTAATCTATCAAGATAT